TAGATAATTTAGGAGAAACCAAAACATGTTTGAAGGATGAGTTAATATCACCAACTGTCGTAATTGGAATATTAGTTTCATTAGCAACTTGAATATGTTGAGTACCAATGTACGGTCGTTGGTTATGCAATAGCTCAGCTGTGCTAGTCATATGATTTGTGGCGCCTGAATCAACAAACCAAGGAGAAGTAACTGAAGAAATAGTTTTACCTTTCCCTTGAAGGCCAAGAGCAGAAAATGCAGAGAGAATCATCTGTTGAACCATATAGGGTGTGACAGTTGTTTGATTATTGTCAGCAACAGTCGAAGTCGAGGCAGGATTGTTAGATACCGTGGCATGAAGTGCTTGTGGTTTACGATTTTGGGGTCGTGTTGGGCACTATTTTCACAATTTTGTGCAATATGACCAAATTTCTTACAGTTGTAACACTGCACTGGCCCTTTCTCTTTGGTCTTAGCAGCATATGCAACATTAATTATTTCTGATGATTCACCTGTTGTACTGATAGTAGCTTGTGTTGCCAATCTTTGTTCTTCACGCAGTAATTGCCCAAAACAAACATCCAGACATGGAACCGGATCTCTGTTCAGTAACCCAGCTCGAGCAGTTTCAAATTCAGGTCTCAGTTTCATTAAGAACTGATCACGACGACTTTCTTCATGAATGGCTTGAAAACTGGCTAAGTTCTCCTTTGATACTTTAGCATAGATAATACCAGTATATTCGCTCCATAAATTTAAAAAACCAGAATAATATTGCTCGATTGAAAGATTACCCTGACTAAAATTACTCATGTCAAGTTCCAATTGGAAGCGTTTTGCAGAATTATCTTGATTATAAACACGCTTCAGATATTCCCACATTTCTTTAGCTGTGCCAAAGGATCGTAAATTGTTCACCATATGAGCTTCAATAGATCCCAAAATCCAGGAAACAATCCGTGCATCCTTTGCTTCCCATTGACCAAGATCTTTTGTCTCAGTAGGGGCTGGGGTAGATCCATCAATATGACTCAAAGCTCCTCTTTTAAGAACATTCTGAGTTGAAATTCCCATGCGGCATAATTCTTTCCCTTAAATTTGATAACTAAGATTTCAGAAGATATTTTAAAAATAAATAAAATTCAAATCCAAGGGCTAGGCCTCGACGAACGATCGAACGATCGAACGATCGGGAGAGATCGAGGCACGATAGATGCGAAGAACTTCAGGCGAGGTACGAGACACAGCAGAAGCGAAGATCGCGGAGTGGATGCAGGATTGTCCAGAGATGTCCGCACGGTATCTCTGAATGCAGGATGCGAAGATCGCGGAGTGGATCGGTGGATCGAGGCACGAGACTCGGCAGATGCGAAGATCGCAGAGTGGTGCAGGACGATCGATCAAACAATCGGGACAGATCGATCGCGGAGCAGATGCGAAGAACGAAGATCGAACGAGCGGCAGATGCGACGATCGAACGAGCGGGAGCGAACGGCAGATATCCGAAGATGCCGCACCAGAGGAGAAGTCCAGACCAGAGCGAGCGGAGCGGAGATGTCCGGAGATGCCGCGCCAGTCGTAAACTCAGCACCAATGGTCCGATCGAAGGCGATCGGCTCTGGTTCGATCGAAGGCGATTGGCTTGAAGCAGCTGTAGAACTCAATCAAAGCGGACGAAGATTCCGCAGAACTCAAAGATAAGAACGACCTCTCCGGCGGTGAGGAAGCTGTCGAAGATGTCAGACAAATATAACAAAAAACTAAAATTTCAAGGATTCAAGCTCTGATACCATGACAATATTTTGAGTAAATAGGCTGAATGCCTTTTCCTTTGCTTTCATTCCAATAAATAGTAGTTTGTACAATCTATTTTAGGTACATAATATTCAGTATAATCTAATTTAAGTAACTTAATTAATACATATTCATAATCTAAATATTCAGCTAAAAAGAAGAGAATCCGTGCAAATATAATATTTCCTTCTTTGCATTATTGCGAAGAAGGAAACTCTTTATTATGATTTCTTTTATTCCTGATTGATAAGGTCGACGGTGTTTAAAAGAGGATAGAAGTCGTTCAACGGCTATCAAGCAAAAAAAAAGGCAATATCAAACAGCGAAATGGCTAGGAGGTTCCATCATCTATTCTTTAACAAGCTACAGACATATCACATGCAAAAGAAATAAAATATTGTACTTCTTAGTACAAAAATGAAATAATACAATCTCCAAAATACACAAAACAAAGCTAAAAATCTTCAAACCAAAGAAATAGTTCCCTCTTAAAATAACATTAATTCTAATTAAAATAACATAAAAATTGGGTCCATAATGGCCTATTGGCAACTGATTAGTGGGAAAATCCTGCTGCCACAATTACGAGATGAGAAATCTTATCTCACCCGTGTTCTGCATTGGCAGGATCATACAATCCGTTAAATCGGAATACCAGAACCCCGAGTTATACTCTGCCATGTCAGTTAGACTCTGATCCCATTACTACTATAGAGGATGTAGAATAAATTGTGCATGATCAGCTCAGTTTTCTAATTCAAATGATAATATTTTGAGTATTGAATCCTAAGTAGATAGAAGGTTTCAAATCTTATTATATAGGAAGGACAAAAATAAACAAAATATATATGCCATCATCTAATATTCATTAGGCTACAAATGAGGAGGTATAAATGAAAGTTTATCACGGACGTCTTCCAGTATCAAATAGATATTTTCTACTTTGTCATATCGTTATCTTCAATTATCTTTCTCCTTCAAAATTGTAATCTGTTAATTCACTATAATGATTGCCTATATACTCAGTTCAATATCTGGTCATAATAAGTTGCTTAAGAAAAATTAACCAAAAGCTTTAAAGACCTACTAAAATAACAATAGATCAATAATAAAGAAACATACAATCAACATAAAACTAAATAAAATCAAGAACGAAAGGGCACATTTGCACAAAGCCCAAGAAATTGGCCTGCTAGTCCACAAAAAGTTAACATAATAATTGGAACGCAAGTTAAAAAAGGAGAATATAAGTACATAGCAAAGTCCAGTAAGGTTCCTTAATCTATTCTAAATAGAAGAACTAGCAATATAACTGATTGTTTAGATAGATGGAGGATCACCTGAGATTTCATTTAAAAGATGAGAGAATAGAGTGTTGATATATTGTCTGCAAATACTGCTTGCTGCCTGAGATAAAGTAAACCATTCATAGACTCAGCGCCCCAAAAGAACGTTCAAATCCTGTTGACCAACTATATAACCATTGGAAATGAAGCCGTTAAAATATGTACTACAAGAATCGTAGCATCTTACTTAGCTCACACAAAATTATAGAACTAAGCAGATGGATGTATCAAAATTGGAGTTAATGCACCAAGATGTTTGCACAAACGAACAGAACTAATTATGATTATTTAAGTGAGTAAGATAAACGTGCAGAATAGTGCAGAATATATGTAATTTATCTTGGAACAAACCAACAAAGGTATATAATGCACATAAGAACAAGCTTATGAAAATCAATTTTGTACATTTAAATAAACTTTAGTTATGCGCATACGCATATGCCACATGTATATCCTTTTTCACAGCAAAGTGCACTAATATGTAGCTTATGCCTAAACATGCATGCTGCACATCCGTATGAAGTCTATAAATCCATCAATCCATTTATTACAAATGAATGGAAACAAAAGAAGCAAAATAAACTATACTAAGCTAGCCAACTAGGTTTGAATTGCCAAACTTAAATAAGATCCTATCCCAAATTGTCAGATACAATCTTTAAACGGTAATCACCAAGGACAGCCATTAGAAATATAGAAGGAGATGAATCATCACTCCTCATCAACAGAAAAAATTCTACCATTTCCTTTCACTTTAGACAAGCCACCAACCATGAACTTAAAATTCAAGGACAAGCCTCTAAGATTTTAAGCAACAGTACAAAAACCGAAGATTCCTTTAACATGTACTCAAGCGCTAGCAGAAATAAGGAATACTGAGTACAATCAAAATCCATTATTTCCAACAGCTGTCTAAGCTGCCCCACGGCTGAATCAAGCTGAAACTGATCTGTTTGTTTTAGCATTGGAAGCATTGATGAGTGTATTGTTTACATTTAGCAACGTGGAGAGCCATCAGTAATAATAGAAGAGAAAATGCATCCCTCATTCACAAATCATGGTTGCAACATTGCGTTCCATGTTTGCAGACTATACAACCCAAGCTAAATGTCAATATAAGATCGCAAACTTGACACAGTACTAGCTCCTCCGATCTCTCTCACACACACAAACAAAAACAAGGAAGCAACCGAAACCAAGAATTATTAATGCAGATGTGCAAATGACACAATATAATGTCAATATAAGAATGATTAGTATCAACTTTCAAAATAGTTATTGTAACTTGAGCCTGTTTTTGTAAATAGCAATGATTTGGGTGCTATGTATGAAATTGCCCGTTTTATTTTATTTTGGGGAATTCGAATACACAGCACCCAATTCTAATGATTTTATCTATCTCATACCCAAACCCTCATTTTTTACAAACCAAGCACCCAACTTTACCTTTTCTTATCACTCCCTAACAATAAAGTCCACATTTTCAACAATAGGTAGGGTGCTGATTTTGGAAAAATGAGAGTTTGGGTGTGAGATAGGTAAATGCATAAGAATTGGGTACTGTAGATGTAAATTTCCGTTTTATTTTTTGTTTTTGTTTTCAAAAAGTATATTTCATTGGAATTTTCAGTTCTTCTTTGAAAACAAATCAAACTATTTTTTGAAACAGTTAAAATAACTTTAAGTTGTTTTTAGATATTTTCATTATTTTTAAAATGAAATCACCACGGACTGACTGCTACCAGTTACCCCAGCCATCTGCTGCTACTGGTGGTCTACACCGTTGGCCATCAGTCGCCTCTATCTCCGCGAAAAACAAAAATAATCGAAACTTAATAAGATGATAACCATGTTTTTATTTTATATCAAAACATAAACAAAAAATAAAAAACAGAAAGAGATCTGAAACAGTCCCTGAAAAAAACATTGTTAACTAACACAAGCAGTCTTTCGTCTAGTCATGAATAAAATCATCACTAGAAGCTGGCTTTCGATAATAAAAATAAGAATAAACCTCGAGACAATAAACTGGAAGGGCAGCTTCAGAAAGCACTTCATCCATGACACTTACATCATTCCATATATCCCCTGCAATGGAAAAATCAGTATATTTTATGCCATATCAAATATACGGTAGCAGCATCTGCAAGAAATGAGATGAAGTCCTCATAAAATGACAGTTTACTTTGAAAAATGATAGCTGGCTGAAAATTCAAGACTAGAAAAATTCAAAGAGAAGGAAGTATTAAAGAAGCAGGGGAACAATTTTAGCTGCTAAAACAAAGGATTAAAAATCTGAATTCCCTTGAAGTCCAGAAATTTTTATTAAAAGATCCAAAAAAAAAAACACAATCAGGTATATAACTCCAGAAAGCCATGTAACCCTTCTCTTCTGAAAAACGGCACTTTACTGGCCTTTGTCCGATCCTACATATTATTATTGGAGGAAGCATTTTACCTCCAAAATTAAATGAGATGTTCTACAGAAAAAAGAATCACGGCAATAATGAACGCATAAATAATTAAAAAGATATTTCTTTCAAATTCTTTTCTGATTCTGACTGTAGTCAAAGAAATGAGTGAACCATGGAACAACCAAGGTTGGCCTTAATCCACCAAGATGAATAACACTACAAGAGAGGTCAGCTTGTATAAATTTGTACCGCATAAAAGCACTACTGACTAGATGTAGCCATAAAGACAAAATATCAAAATATTCCCTCAACTGATTGTATGGGGTGCCATTTCAATCCCAAACTAAAATTTTATTCAATTTGGTTGTTTAACTTCGCTAATATGGTCTAAAATAATCCCATTGTTGGATTATTTTAAATCAAATTTGAGAAGTTTAGGGACTAATTTTGATCAGATTTAAAAAGTTGGAACACTTGCATTATAGATAGCTCGGGACTAAAATAGCCTCCAATAAATAGTTGTGAGATTGATCTTCCATCCTAACAACCATAATGGCTGCTCAATTGTTGCGTCTGACATGATACCAGGTCACAGTGAAAAAGGGTCTCAAAAAACAACATGGATGTGGACCAAGTTGCATGAGTGGCTTTTATGCTTCACCTTTAACTTCTACAGGATTAAGCAGTGCCAAACCTGTTGAACTAACACAAAACACACAAAGACAAGTGTGATGAATGGGAAACATTAAGGTGGATATCTTCTCCTAAATACATATTTGTAAAGCCTTTTGAACTAGAAAAAAAAAATTGCTATTTAAAAGATAAAAAACTCGGTATTTGAACAATTGCAGCAATACATTGGCTTTGGCTTTTGATTTGACTGATAAGTTGTGTATGTATTCCAAGGATGAATTCACGTATTCCTCATAAGATCATTTCAATCAGTGTTGACTTTGAAGACTGAGAATTTTTTTTTTACTATTATGAAAAAGCTTCTCCATTACCACCCACACAAACCCAACATCCCCCCCAAGGACTCCCCTCTTTTCCCATTCCTGTTTTAGTGGAGTCATGTAACATTGAATGTGGCTTTGCATATTATGATTTGTTCAAAAGACTCTTTAATGCGCAATAAATAGTCCTGAGATCATTTTGATCTTCTATCCTAACAACCATAATGGTTGCTCAATCGTAGCAGCTGACATGATACCAGGTCAAAAGTGAAAAGGGAACTCCACAAACAATATGGATGTGGATCAAGTTGCATGAGTGGCTTTTATCCTTCACCTCTAACTTCTACTGGATTAACCAGTGCTACACCTGTTGAACTAACTCAAAATACACAAACAAAGTTATGATGAATAGGAAACAGTAAGGCGGATATCTTATACTAAATAAACATTTATAAAGCCTTCTGAACTTAAAAAAAATGCTATCTAAAAGATGCAAAACACAGTGTTTTGCCCAAAAATTTCAATAAAACATACGAAAAATCCGAAAAGATGGGACCGCAAGCACTTGAGTCGGGGCTAGGCTCAAATAATATATATTTGTACTCGAGAGACGTCGAAGGCTACTATCGGTCACCTGGATGTATAGAACCCGCCACTCAACTAGAAGGGTGTCCTATTAAACCTAACTTAGGAGGGTACTCCTTAGCCCAGTATCAGTAATCAACAAGTGGACAACCAAGTTGTAACACATTTAAAATTTATATTTTAGCATGCACATGGATTTCAAACATACAAAAAAGAAGTTGTATCAATTTTGTAGTAAAAATATTGTATCTGTTCTTATCAATTTGTTTTATAAATTTTGAAAAAAAGTATAGTTGTCCACTAGTCGATCACGTCGTCGGGCATAGGACAGCCAACAACTTAAGAAGGTACAGGTCCCCCGCTAGTCCTGTGTCAGAGGACGAAATTGGAATGATATTAACATCCTACAGTTTATCAGATCCCAAGATTGGGTCCTGATATCGTAGGATGGATTATCATTCTGCTCTACCACCGACGTGTCTTTGTCATCATCGCCCATGTCATCATCGCCCTAAGCCCCAAAACAAAACCGACCTACTTGCGACCTTGTTTGATAATTTCATATATAGCAAAAGGCTATATATGAGCACTTTTGTGTCGGACATAAGCACAAAAAATCGAACCAAGAAGGAAAAAAAAAATAAAAATGGGGATGAGAGAGAGGAGGAACTGATCCACCCAAAAGATCGAAAGGATAAAAGCTGAAGCAACCCTCAAAACTGTGACGAAAAACCCTGAAAAAGAGAGCCCAAGGTCCTTGAATCAATCCAAGAAATATATCATTTTCTCAACTTTTATAATTGGATCAACCCAACTTTTATAATTGGATCAACCTTGGATCAACCCAAGAAGGATATCCTTTCCACATTTTGTTTCGAACAGGTCGAAACGCAGCCAAAACTAGTGTGACAATTGTACTCGCGGCTCCACCACCTATATGTACTCACACACGTAAGCCTGGATTCAAGTGTGGCATTTATGTTATCCAAACTTTAATATCAAACCTCCAAAGAACTCTTTTATGAATAACAATCTTATAAGCTTTCAAACCCATCATGAATCTGTTTCATATCAACTTTATGATTTTCATGATTTCTCAAAATGAAGTTTCAAGTGTCTTTTATATGTCACAAAATAAGAGAGACTAATCAATAGAGGGGGCAACCTTCTAGCCTTCCATAAAATAATGTCAATATCAAAATCATTTAAATTCAACCTTCATTAAAAAGTTTTCATATCATATAAACATGAAATTATCCAGATAAAACCATATAAATGCTCATAAACAGAGGCAACAGAAAAGGACAGCCACCAGCCCAACTTATCTCATGAAGAGATCACAAGGTAAGGCTCACGGGTAGGGGCAGCAAGAGGAAGGCCACCACCATTTAAGCTCCCACCACCATTTAAGCTCACGGTTAAGCTCACGGGTAGGGCCAAGAAAGAGAAAGTCGCCACAGAATAAGCCCACGGGTAGGGCCAAGAAAGTAAAAGTCACCACAGGTATTGCCATTACATTACCTTTGATATACGTAAGAGAGTGAATGGACAAGTTTTTTATAGATCATTAGGACTGAAACCATTTTAATCACATAAGACATGATAATGAGTTGGTCTGCTCGTATCGAACATTCCCACATAAAAGTAGATATTGAAATCATGAATTTTGGGATGAAAAACTTGATTACCAATAAAAATTTCAAGAGGAACGTTATATGAAGAGCTTCCAATCAAACTGGGTCCAGCAAATGGGCTAAAATAGAAAGGAATTTCGGCCAAAACACAATCCCAAAAGGAGCCAAACCGAGCCCACCAAAGGGGCAAACCGAGCCCAGCACAGGGGGCAAACCAAGTTCAACACAGAGGTAAACCGAGCCGAGCACAAGGGGAAACCAAAATACATTTTTAGCTCAACTAAACCCAGCAAAAGAGAGCCCATAACAGATAAATTTTTAAATCAAACTAATTCCTTCTCTTAAACCAAATTAAACCCAACATAAAGGCTAAAGAAAAGAGTATACTTTAAGCCAAAACCGCACCCACCAAATGGGGAAAAACAGACCAGCATTTCCAGCATGGATTCAACCCAAAAGAGCCAAAACCGAGCCCAACAAAATGAAAGGCCAAATTAAACTCAACAAAACCGAGCCCACATAAGTTCAATCCCAAAAGAGTCAAACCGAGCCCATCCACATGGGAAAAATAGAGAAAAAATTCCAGCATAAGTTCAATTCCAAAAGAGCCAAACCGAGATCATCCATATAGGAAAAACAGAGAAAAACTTCCAGCATAAGTTCAATCCCAAAAGAGTCAAACCGAGCACACCCATATGAAAAAAAAAAACAGAGAAAAATTTTCAGCATACATTTAATCCAGAAGAAGCCAAAATCGAAGCCCATTGAATGGGTCAAAACGGGGTAGAATTTCCAGCATTTATTTGGACAGGAATAACAATAATAAAAAGCATCAACATTTCATTTCAATATGAATTTTAGATGAGCAAATATCATTTCAAGACTTCCCATGTATTTCGAGCAGAAAAGAAATGCAAGTGATACTTTCCCCTAAAAATCATCCTTCCTTTAACAATAAATTGATTCAGCAATGAGAAAAGAAAGAAGGCTACAGCTTTCAACATACAGATAAAAAAATAATAGAAGTGTAAGAAGAAGATTTGCCTGTCACAATGAATCTAAACATGTTTTTCCTAAAATGTTATTTCAACTAACCAACATAGAACTTCTAAATTAGCTCCAATAAAAGTATCAAAGGCTCAATTTTTTATATCAATGTCATTATGAAATACCAGTTAAGACAAAACAAAGCCTCATGTATGCATTCCCTATTTTAACATTTCCAACATGTGTCGAGCAGGGCAACAGAACAGAGAAGAGAAGGAAGAAGTACATTGCTTGAGATTTCCTAAACAAAAAACACAAAAAAAGGGCACCAAGCTTCCAAACGCCCAGCACACAAGGACCTAGCCGAAAGAGAATTTCAGCAGAACCTCTCTTCCTAAAGTCTCGAACATCAAAAACTCAGTCTCTCCTTCTCTCAAAAAAAATTTCAACAACCCAAAACAGTCCTCTAGGAAGTCTTTTTATAGGCAGAGATGAAAGGGGGACAGCCACCTACCAACCTCACTGATGGTCGAATCAGGTAAAGGGAAAAGAGAAGATGCATTTAGGGAGGAGGAAATGCAGCCTATGGCAGAGGAAGAGTCAGCCAAGTGAAGTTTCACCGTTGGAAAGCTGCTTGGTCGAGCGGAGCTCGAGGAGGCGAGCAGCGTGAGCGAATGGCAGCGGAATGTCGCGTGTGACCGAGGAGATGCGGGAGAGGAAGCCGGGTTTGGCGGCCATGGCCTCGATTGGTCGGCTTGGGTGCGGCCGATCGTGTGAGCTAGGGCACGAGGGGGCGAGCACACTTCGATCGAACCGTGACTGGGAAGAAGGGATTAAGTGGGATTATAAATATTATTATATTAATATAAAATATTTAATATTTCAAAAATAAAATTCGATTCGTACATTTTTATTTATGCGTCAAATCATAGCAAAATGAATGTCTTTTTTAGGTAATTCTGACGTTCCGGACACATTAGCGCGCGGGCGCATTGGCGCGGTCCGTTTCGTCGTCGAAAGTCATTTTGATGAATTCATCGATTTGCGTGCAATTTTCTCGTGCGCGAAATTATGGCAATATGGGTGACTTTTCTTGCTAAAATTGGTGTTCTGGACGCCAATTTTGTCGTCGGAGGTCATCCGGATAAGTTCGCATTTTCACCATCCTTTAAACTCAATTTTAGTTTGATCTTGTGCAACTTAGTGAATTTTGTGTATTTTGTGTGTGTGATAATAAAGTCCTGAAGAGGTTTTCCTAGGGCTTGAAATCCTATTGAGAACTTCTTCTTGAGTCTTAATATGATAGTTATTAACCACTCGACCATACAACGATGGTTTTGAGATCATCAATGCGAGACATCACAAGAGAAATAGGAAGTTGCTGGAATTTCTAAAGGGGATGGATTCCAATACTAATTTTCTAAGATAGTCAATAAGAATTCCTAGAGCTAGATCCTAGGATCCTAAGGAAAAGAGCAATGACTTCAAAATGAGGTCAACATTGTGTTACATGGATGAATTCATGCATTCCTCATAAGATCATTTCAATCAGTACTAACTTTGAAGACTACGTGATTATTTTATTTTTACTGTTACGAAAAAACTTCTTGATTTTTTTAGCATTTCCATTGCCCTTCGCCCCTTTCCTTTTTCCCATTCCTGTTTTAGTGGAGTCATGTAACATAGAATGTGGCTTTGCATATTATGATTTGTTAAAAAAGCTCTTTAAAGAACAATTTTAATATTAATTTTCTGTTTCATTCTTTCTTCTAGTTTTACATCATGAAGGCATGTAAACGTCCAAACTTTGACTCCATTACCTTCATGTTATTGTTACTTCATTTTTCTTGTTCCACATTAACTAGTTTACGCCTATTTATTCTACACTCCATGATGTCTCTCAACTGTACCAATCATTTTAGTCGAGCGAAGTGCGAGAACAAAGATACAATACAAATTATTTTGCTGGATAGTCATAATTTTACCTTCTTATACATCAGCTCCTATAAAATGAGCATTTATTTTATTAACACTTCACGTGCACTTCATTTAAGAATGCAAACTTGACCTATAATCACAGGTTTTATTTTCGCCAGTGCCCTCAAAATTGTAAGTTTTTTTTCCGTGCATTTGCCCAAGGAGTTTGCTTGTAAGAAAAAACAAAATGCATAACAAATAAACAATAAGCACTTACCTATCAATATTAAAGTTCACTCATCACTAGGCAAAAAATGCCATCCTGCATTGGAGGCAATCAGTTATATGGATGCATGAAATACAATTGAAAATGATTTTTTGCTTTTTTATTCTTTTGGATTTGGCCTGTGTTGTTCGCTTCATGCTGGTGGCATGTGTTGGCTGTAGAGCATTGTTTGTAGGAAAGAGAAAGGGCTTTTCCAATATTGTTACACCTTGTTATGCCAACTCCCGGCTTTCATAGAATTATATTATTTGTACATTTGATTTTTGTGACTTTTTGTTGAGAAAATGGATTCTTACAGGCAGGATTTTCTGCGCCTTATATTATCTACAGTAAGGCTGTTGGGATTTACAATTGGTGTACATGGCCAAAGGGATGAGTATGGATTTGAAATTAAAAACAAGCAAATATTTTTATTATCTTGTGGGATTGTTCTCATAAATAGTTCTTATGTCTAGGATAAGGGTCTTGATTTTTTATGAAATCTGAATTCAGTTTGTTGTGTGTTTTTACTCTTAAGGGTTGTATTCGACGTCAAGGTAGTGCTCTGGCTGTCCTTTGTCTGAGGCGGTGATCGTCTCCACAGGTCTGACTAGTCTTCGGTTGTAACTCGACCCTGCCGAGATATTTATCTATCCTTCTGCCCATCCCATTGTTGTCCACCAGCTCCACAACCCTACTACAGCCCCGCTGCTCCATCTAGACCGCCTTCCTACAGGTTGCCGCAGATCTGCTACCCTTCCAGCCACCCTGCTGTCCTGCCTCCCTGTCTCTTCCAGGTTGCTGCCAGCCCCCCCTACGGCATCCCTGCTGCTCTTTCAGTTTGCTGCCAGCCCCCCTACGGCATCCCTGCTGCTCTTTCAGTTTGCTGCCAGCCCCCCTACGGCAGCCCTGCTTGCTTCCAGCCCCCACTAAGGCATTCTTGCTGCTCTTCCAGGTTGCTTCCAGCCCCCCCTACGGCCTCCCTGCTGCCCTTCCAGGTTGCCAACAGTTCCATGCAGCCGCCCTGTGGGGTACAGCAGCCCCCCTGCTTCCCTTCCCGACCACCGCTCCAGCGCTCCCTCTCCAGACTCCCTCCTCGCTGAGCTTGTGTTACTTTAATTGTTAAGTCTTTGTTGTAATATTTGTTCTGTGTTTTGATTCATATAGTGTTTTTTCCTTCTCTTTTGAGTCATTGTTGTAACCGTCCATTAAATTATTATTGAATTTGTGTCTTGCATTGTGGTTTGGGTAAACTCTGGTATTACCATCTCCACCCACTAGCATGAATCTTGATTTTCTTTTTTTTTTGTTGATATTTTCGTTTACTGTTCTATTTCATTTACATAATTCAATAGCGTTGCTGATTTTGAAAAAAAAAAGATGTGAAATTCAAATTATGAAAATTAAATTCAATAGCTTGTTAATTTTGATTTTCAATTCCTGTTAAATTTCTGAAATTATTCCATTATCATTTAGGCTTAAGATTCTAGCATTGCTTGTTTGTATTTAACATACAAAAGTTGTAGCATTAACTGATGGCTTCTGAATTGTGAATCTTCAATTTTTTTTTTCATCTATTAATACTCTGCATCTATTAGTTCAGTCAGAAAACCTAAAATTGACCATCGTGCATCTAATTGCTAAAGCAGTTTTGAGTTGAAGTTTGGTCTTGCAAAAATACAAGCCACAGGTGAAAGCCTTTCTTTACTTACCCACTAAAATTTAAGAAAAATAAACACAATCACAAAGACAAGGCATTCTTATTTATTTCCTTAAATTGGTTAAAGATTTAACAGTCGAGTCCTCTCTCCATTACTGCCGTAAAATTATCGCACGTACTGTAAGCATGACAATCAATTCTAAACAAACTGAGAATTAGATATTAAAGCATATGTGCATATACTGTTTTTTGGGAACAGATATTATAGCATATGTGCAAATATGTGGACAATTTTGAAATAAAGTTCGCAAAATCAAAACATTTAGTGGAGATAGAAAATAGAAGAGCCCATTAAGAACATGGAAATGGGATAATTCAAGAAAAAAATAGAACAATTGAACAAAGTGCTACTGCAGATATGTCGGGCAAGGTAAAAAAAATTAATAGAGTATCAAGTTCAATTAGTTAATTTAGAAAATAACAATAAAATAAAGCAATCTCTACAAAGACAAAACACAGTTTTTTGAAAAAGCAATACTGCAAATTAGGATGCAACTTGTTACTCTAGCCTTATCACACCATCTTTCAAGATAAAGAAAATAAAAACAGATCGCTCGAATCATTGCAGATAAATGAACAAGCAGATGAATAAAAAAATGAAAAATACTATTAATTTCCAAGCTTTAAGAACCAAATAAATAGATCATATGCACTGACACCCCATGAAAAAGGGATTCAATATGTTTTCAAATTCTTACAAAGCATTATTAGCAAATTTGCTGCAGACGTTCTTCTATTTATGTGCTGCTGAACAATTCCGTAACGCCTTCAAACATAAAGTTCAATCAGAACAAGTATTACTGGGAAGATCCTTCAGTTAAAGATGGTCAAGTAAAAAGAAGGTTAAACTCCAAAATAATCCCCAACTCTTCATATGTGAAAAACTTATTACCAACATATCACTTTTCTCCAATTTAGTCACTCAAAAATACAAAACGGATGCAAAATAATCCCTCTGAGACTAAATTGGGATCAATTTTTTTTTTTATTTGAAAGATTAAAATGAGATCAAATTTATATCACAATTTATGTGAAATATCATTTTGGATCAATTTTGTAAAGTAGGACTAAATTATGAGATTTGGCCACAAGCAAATAGTTGGGATTATTTTGGGATATAATCTTATTATAAGGATTTAAGTCTTTCCGATAAGCTATATAAGCCAAAAATCAAATGCATACTTTGCAAAGAAGTCCTGAGCAAGTTTGATCAGCCGAGCTTCTGAATCCGGAAATATTATAAGATAAGCATGAACAGTTTTGGAAAACTCGCCGATTGAAGCCTGAATGAAGGGCGCAAAAAAGAAAAAAAATTAGATATGCCATTTTAGTGTTTCAATGAAACCGAAATACAAACAATATGCCTATTCATGAATCATAATAGAAGAGTCAAATAATACATACATATATATAATTATATTATATGCACATGGTAATCAAACACTTACCAATTAATTTGCCTGAATAACTGATAACTCAAACCAACATAATGGCGCTCAACTTTCATGTTGACCCTCATAATGCAATGGCGACTAAAAAAAATTAAGAAGTTGTGTGTGTATTAAACTATTTTAGGAACATGTACGCCCTGTACGCAGTCTGCTATTTTAGATATTGACTGTATAAAACTCAGTCCATGGAAAGCTGGTCTTCTACAAGGCATCTTACAAGCAGATTACATCTTAATATCAAATTTTATCTTTTCTTCCCCCAGCACATAAATAGTTACAAGTGCATAAAAAAAATTCCTGATTCTTCAGTTATTCAAATTAAGTTATTTTACGATTAAAACATATAAATATAGCATTAAAACCACATAAGCATTTATATTAAGTATTTAGTCGGTTTGAGACCAAAAGTGCAAAAATAATTCTTTATTTATCATCAGGAATTAACATAGATGGTTTGAGACTAAAAGTACTAAAATCATTCTTTAATCGCCATCAAGGATTAACATATTATCATTAGGATAGCAATATTTTGGATCAACATTATGCAAAAATAGTGTACTAAAGTTCCAGACAATTTAAACTAGGAAATCATTTGGGCTGAAATTAATAACAAGACTACCTTTAATAGCTTTCAAATGTTGAAAACTTCTTAATTTCAATCTCATATGAATAAAATTTTGGGACTGCCCTTTTGTGATGACCATCATGGAAATCTACAAAGGGCTTTGAGAACAGACTCCTTTGAAGACTAGACCTTTCAATCGTGAATTTCTAGAGACTTGGCCAAGATGTCATACTCCGGCAGTCACCATACACCTTGAAATAATATATGCATATATATATATATTTGACAATGCTTTTGGATCAATTCCCACTGCTTATTTTTTAAGGGGTGACATGATTTACTTTAAATAAACGAATCATTTCTTGTAAAATTGTATGTGCGCGTGTGTTTTTGTGTTTGTGTGTGTGTGTGTGTGTGTGTATATATATATATATATTTAATAAATTATACTGGAACAAATGGATTCTTAGCATGATAAATATCACCCAAACAACAGACACTGTAATCAGTTTTCATATCATAAGAAAGTAAACAGCAATGCAGGAACAACAAACTTGGTGAGCTCCAAATGGTACACAGAAAAACTCCCAACATAAGATCAAACCAGAAATAGCTGAGAACATGTAATCTTTAATCAATGCCACAGATATCTGAATCACGGAAAGCAAAGCGTGGAAATAAATTCTTCTTAAGTTGGTTTCAAGGGGATTGTGGTCTCCGCAATCATGGACGTCACGATGTAGGGATCCATATTCGATGCCGGCCTCCGCTCCTCGAAATAACCTTTGCCATTATTTTTAGTGTCACGACCAACACGAACTGAAGCTCCGCGGTTTGCAACACCCCAAGAGAACGTGTTGATATCAGCAGTCTCATGCCTTCCAGTTAAGCGACGCTCATTGCCTTCACCATAAGAAGAAATATGCTCCTTATGTCGGAGGCGAAGTTTTTCTATTGCCTTCTTTATGATTTCATAACCTCCATCTGCCCTCATTGATTTGGTGCTGTAGTTATGCACTTGTAATCTCCCTTGAGTTTCTTTTATTAATAGTGATTGTATTGTCATGAGTGCTAAGCGTCCTTAGTCTTAATCCTATTAATTTCAGCAACAATATTTCAGTTTTATTTGTGATTTGGGGTTTCTCCTGTGTCAATAGAAATGGTGTATGTTTAATTATACAAAATATTTTAAAAGATAATGTTGTAAAATTTAATAGAATTTGGGATAAAATTATAGCTATAAAGATTATTATTGATATTATGATTCTTACTGTTATAGGTGTTTATGTTCTTCAAGTAGGTTAATATTTATGTTTAAAAGAAAAAATTTGGAATTACCTAGTAGAATTAATAGAAAATATAACGAACACTATTAAACAAGTTGCAAAAGATGTACTAGAAGAATCAAAAAAATAAATTATAAATAAAAATAGTTGATGGTGGAATGAAAATGTGCAAGAAAAAATAAAATATAAACAATTTTGTTATGAAAATTGATTTAAATGTGAAAGCATAGAAAATTAAGAAAAATAAGATGTGGCCCCTAAAAGCTACAAGAATAAACTGTAATATTAAAAATTATGTTTTTAGTAATCTTTATAATAGATTACATACTAAACAAAGAAAAAGATATATGTATAAACTAGCCAAACAAAGATTTAAGAAAAGTAATGATTTAGATAAAAAAAAAGTGTATTGAGGAAAAAAATCAAAATATATTTTTCTTAGATGAGGATATTCAACATAGATGTGTGAGAAATTATGATAAACCTTTCAATGAAAATCTTGAAAATATGACTGTCTTTAGTGATTTTAATACAAACAACAACAGCAAAACACCTTTATCCGCCTAAGTGGGGTAGGCTACATGAATCCTTTTTCTCTATTGCACCCTATTGAGTGTCATATTTTCATTTAATTCTAAGAAATTAAGATCAGTTTTTATACAATATGTCCAAGTCTTTCTAGGTCTACCTCTGACTTTCTTAGCATAAGTCAGATCTAAAACATCTACTCTCCTAACATGATCATCAGATAATCGATGTTTAATGTGACCAAATCATATAAGACGACTCTCTCTAATTTTTACTGAGACTAGAGCTCCAGCAACCCTATCACGGAAATATTCATTTTGCATTTTGACTCTAAGTGTAAAGTCGTTCATCCACCCAAGCATTCTCTTCTCGGCAATACTTAACTTAGTTTTATGCTTCTCTTTTAAATGCCAACATTCAGCGCAATAGAGCATTCCAAATCTCACCACAATCTTATAATTTTTTTTCCTTTAGTCTAAGCGGTACTTTTCTATCACACAATAGGCCTGATTCCTCCACTTCAACCAACCAACTTGAATCCTACTAATAGCATTCTCATCTATATCACCATCACTTATGTATTTAAATATATAACCCCTAAACTTCCAACTTTGTTCACACCATTTAATAATTTAATAATTTGATCACCCATAATTACAACTCTGTCACTAGAACTACTACTACTAAAATTACAATCTTTAGTGATTTTAATATTGTTAATAATAATAAAACTTTATTATTTTTAATATTGTATTAATAAAACTGAGGTTGAGAAAGATTTAAAGCAAATGAAGAGTGAAAAATCAGTAAGACCTGAAGATAATCAAACAGAAATGTGAAAAAATTTAGGAGACTTGACAATTTATTGGCTTACTAAACTTTTTAAAATTATTTTAAAAACTAAAAGATGTCGGAAGATGAGTATTTTTGTCCTTATTTTTAAGAATAAAAGTAATGCATTAGAGTGTGCAAATTATAGAGGGATTAAGTTAATGTACCAAATATTAAAATTATGGGAGAGAGTAACTGAACATAAGTTAAAACGTGGTAAAAATATTTCTCACATTCAGTTTGGATTTATACCATGCAAGTCTACAAAGGAAGTTATATATTTATTGAGAGATTTGATGAAGAAGTACAGAGAGAGTAAGAAGGATCTACATAGATTTTTAGCTATTTAGAAAAAAGCTTATGATAATGTTTCAAGAGAAGTGCTTTGGAGAGTTATAGAAAAAAAAGGTGTTGACTAAAGCTAAGTTGGCCTGTATAAGATGATGGTGAGACTCCAATGCTTAATGGCGCAGAATGTTGGCTTTTAAAAGAGAAGCATAAAACTAAGTTAAGTATTACTAAGTTGAGAATGCTTAGGTGGATGAGTGACTTGAAGCTTAGCGATTAAATGTGAAACGAATGTATCTGTTAAAGGGTTGGTGTAGCTCTAGTGGCAGACAAGATTAGAGAGAATCGTCTTAAATGGTTTGGTTACATTAAACGTCGATCATTTGATGATCGGTTAGGAGAGTAGATGTTTTAGATTTGACTTATATTAAGAGAAGTAGTGGTAAGCCTCAAAACACTTGGGCATGTTGTATAAAAAATGATCTTAATTTATTAAAATTAAATAAAATATGACAATTAATAGGAAATAATAGAGAATAAGGATTCACGTAGTTGGCCCCACTTAGTGGGATAAAAACTTATTGTTGTGGTTGTTGTTCTATTTTATTATATTGTTATTGTATGAGAGATGAATTTTGAGATAAAGAAACTAATTAAATTTATATTTTTTTAAGAATGTTCATATAGTTTAGAAACTTTGTAGACATATTTAAAAAAATGTAAGCGATTGCTTCTGCTGAATTTGAAATGATCATTTTTTACTAAATTGATTGGCGTAATGTTCTATAGTGTTGTTTCAGATATATTTAAATGCCTGAGTTTACCAAACACTCTATTGTGACATTTGGGAAGACATAATGAGTGTTAGGGGTATATTCAATCAGTTGAATTGTAATCGTCTCTATTACGTCCCACATAAGGCGTGACACATTACTCATTTAAAATATCTCTCTTGGTGCCTCCTTATAATCCCATTTTTCCAACTGCTCTATGATGTTTTTGTCTTAGATACTATCGAATCATTTCATAAAGTTCTTGAGCCATTGGGACATTGCAAAGTACATTTCAATTCTGATTCAGGTTTCAAACAATTTCAATATTGATCTTTTTGATGAAACTTGTTTTTTTCCATCGGGACTTTCAGCTTCAAGGTCAAAGTTTTTGTTGTTATTTTAATAATCAATATCATTTGAATGGTAAAATATAAATCATTATTCATGGAAAATTTTGATCACTAAATTATTATTTTGGACAACAATATTTTTTCAGTATCTGTATGTATTTCTCCAATGCAAAACCTATATTGAAGCCTATTAAGATTGGTTTTTGTAAGCCTTACTAAAGGTTATTTGTGTGGCTGGGGAGTACAACGTGAAAGAGTTTAAAGCTGATATGCTGTCTTGATGAATAGTGTTTCGGTTCTAAATCATGAAAAGAACCAATAATAGTTCTTATAGTGATTCAAGTTTCCAAGTTAGCAGAGTGGGTTAGTAGAATTCCAAAAACAGTCCGGGTGTAAATCTTTTAGTCATGCCTACTTTGATTGATGCTTCAAAAGATAATCACTATTTTACTTGGCTACTCAAAAAGGGCAAAAATAAACATCCAAGTCTATGTGAGAAACAGAATGTACTAAACATAATTAAGTTCCCTTTATTTTTAATCCTAACCACTCAAAACATGCTCAAACATACCACGTCACAAGAAATTTGATCAACTTCAAATTTATTTAAATAGATTTCAGTCTGAGCTGCCTGCCAAGAACTGTCTTACCGCATCCTATATTTGAATCAGGACTTATATCATTGATTATATTCTAATTTTTGCCAGATATTATATAAATTAAAAATTGATCTGCATGCGTGTAAAGGCTAATACTATAGTATTCATGACTCAAATCTTGTTTCCCTTTGCAAAAAAGTAGAGTTGGTACAGTTTTTATTCCAGTTGGAGCAAGCCAATTCAATCTAAGAGTCACGGAAGTAATTTGTTTGAAATTGTGAAAACTTGAACTGTTCCAGTTAGGCCGTTTTAAGAGTAGCAAAACAGGACATCCATAGTTATAGTTGAAAAAAAGAAATAAGTGAATCTGTCAGTTCTATTACAGACAACGCCACATTCTGGGTAAGACGCAAGGTTAAAACATCCAAACCCACACGCTTAAGTGCGGCCAATATCTTTAAGAACATCTACTGCCCACACAATTCATGTACGTGGAGCCTTAAAAAAATTCAACAAGTTTCTACGGAAAACTCAACAAGGCAGAAGGAAAGGAATAAACTCAAATTTATCTCATTGAGCTTGCCTTGGGTAGCCCATCTGATTCTGAGATTTCGACTTCTTCAGATTGATTGTGGAACTTTAAGAGACAGTCCTCAAACTTTTCAAGTAACTTAGACTTCAGATTGTCAACCTGTAAAGCATAAAAAAACTTGACAAAAGCTTCTCACCAAAAAAGAATTCTATAAGTAAGATTGTAAAGTTCTACACATAAAATGTATTTGGGCATCATTAAATGGAAAAATAAAAAAGGAAGAGAATATATTATGTGATTTACATAAAAATCAAATAGAGCAAATCAAGGTCAAGTTTTGAAAACTGCTCTGGCAGCAGGTTATCAGCTATGCACTCCCTAGTTGACCATGTTCACAGAAAAACAAAAAATGATGATTAAAATGGGGCAGAGATCGGTAGGAAAAATAAAAATAATACATTTTAAAAGCACATCATCGAAATGCTATATAGAATCATACGAGCAAGCATAAGCCTAAATTAATTTCAACTTTCATCGGTATAAAAGCAATGCCCAATGTCCAAGTTGCACCCAAAAGGTCTGCAATAAGCAGACAGTTTGTATATTTCGAAGAAACCTTTTTTTTCAAGTAAATTAAGTCAGGAAATTAAATCAAAAATAAAATAGTTTCTCTTGTCAATAGTCTAAGCAAAATGGAAGATCCTTTATTTAATAATGCACCACCAAGTGTGCTATTTACTTAGAAAACATATAGTCATAAAACGTTCCAGATGATGTAGTTGGCCTGTCCGTTTTTTAAGAGGATTACTTGTATAGATGTTTGAAGAAGGTCCGGAGCAATTTTTATGTTGCCCCCAGTTGGTCCCCTGAAATCATGGATTTAGATCATAGAAACACTCTGTTTACAATATAAAAGAAACCTGCATACATTCACCGTCCCCAAGCATTATATCATGAAATGGGGAAGCTTCATGCGATAAAACCCTTATTTTAACCAATAAAGATGTTAGAGATATGTCTAATTGCTACCCAAGATCAACAGTGAGCAAGCCCGCGTCCTAACCACTTTGCCATTTTATTGGTTATCAATATACTATTCACTAAATTATTACCATTTTATTCAAATTGCTTCAAAAAAGTCAAGGAAAACAAAAGAACGGATTAATATAGCATGATCATTAATTTTATTTTAATTTGAAATGTTCATTGGATCACTTCCAACTCTCCTAAAATAATAACTGGCGATGGACACAGAGTTTGTAGATAACAAACGACCAACCAGAATTACTACCAGATCAAAACACGACTCTAACTCAAAGTGCAGAAGCAACCGACCCCCAAATTAAGAAGAACAAGGACACCGGAGAGGCTCCCGTGATTCCTTCATCTAGACTAAATCGGTTCAAACTCAGGAGTTCCTAGCTCTTCCACAAGGGATCAGCGTCTCCTTTCTATAGGAGGATCCAATCCTAATTATCTAGGGTTTATATATGCGACACATGTGTTTTAAGTTTTCAGTCTTTTATTCAATTTTTCGTCAGGACAACACTTAGTATCTCAGCTTTCCCTTCTAGAGTTTTATCAAAAGGAGAAAAGGCACTACGGCTATAGCTCGTCCTGAGGTGGCGTTTATCCACCTTCCCTACTTCCCCAACCTTCATCCCACCCACTTGACGTATTGCCACCCCTGCCGAAATTGTTTTGCCATCAGTCCTGCTATTGTCCAGCCACCGCCCATCCCTTCCAGCTACAAATTTCTTGTTGTCGCCCCTTCCGACCACATTCCACCTACCATCACCATGCACCAGCGTTCTTGTTGCATCCCCACACCACGACTTTGCTACCACCCACTTTCTAGCCACCTGTCGCCTTCTCTGTTGTTGTTGCCCCTCCCTTAGTTGTCTCTCGACCATCCAATCATCCATACTTACTATTCCTACTCCAACTGCAGCACCATCACCTTTGACCGATGCCCTAGTTTTGTGTTTATGTTGTGTGACTCTTGCATTTTTTTGTTTTTTTTTATTTTTTTATGTTGTGTGACTTTTGTTATTTCTAATTTAAATGTGTGTTCTTATAACCTCTATTTGCTTTCCGTAATAAAAGTTGCTTTTCTCGTTGTCGTTTGGTTAACTCTGGCATCATTTTGTATCAATGTTAGTCCAACCCAAGTCTTATCCTAGGATTCTTAGCATCCATCACTACCTAACCCTACCTCCACCCAAAAATTCTCTTTCCCACCCTATACCATCCCTGCATATCTCCTTCCACCAACCCACCAAAAACCTTGATCATGTCTCCATGGAGGAAATTGCCAGAACCTGATCAGAAGTTTACCATTGAAAAGTTAGCGACAGCTCCGTTGAATGATAAAATGGCTCGATGGCATTGAGAAATGGTCAATGGAGAGGTCACTGACAAACATGATAGTGAGAACCAAAAAGAGGGAGGAATACCTGAATCGCTTCCGTAAGAAAGATTCTATTAAAGAAAATAGGTCGCCATGCTTTAAGATACAGAATCAGAAGAAGCTGAGAGATGAAGTACCTGTTAAAGAATTCATAAATGAAGTATTTGTTAGAGGATACAAAGATGAAGTGTATGTTGGAGGATAAAGAAATGAAGTGTCTATTGGAGAATGCAGAGGCTCAGAAGTAAAAGTGGACAGACTAGATTTTGAGGGGAGAATGAATTCTAATGATTTCATAGAGTGGCTCCAGACTGTTTAGAGGATCTTTGAATACAAGAAGGCAAAATGACCGAAAAGTAAAAGTAACTGCTATTAAGCTGAAGAAGAGCGTTTTGTTGCAGTGGAATAACCTAAAGAGGGAGAGACAGAGGACGGAGCAACAATACTACCTCGGAGAAGATGAAGAGAGAGTTGCAGCGACAGTGCCTACCCCCACACTACCGTCGAGATATTTTCTTGAGGCTTTACCACCTGCAGTAAAGAGAGCTATCAGTAGAGAAGTATACCGCAGAGTTCCTACAACTTAAGTTGAAATGTGATCTGATGAAACCTGAGGAGCACACGATAACCAAGTGCTTGGGATTCTGATGCCCGCCTTCAGCAACGTGTTTCAACTACAATCTTACTGGTCTTTCAGTGATGTCCAAACATTGGCATTAAAGGTGTGGAGAAAGCAGAAACAAAAGCAGGCACACACCGCCATTCAGACAGCCACCCACAGTTTGAGATATCAGTAGAAGCACACCTACGGGAGTTGAGAAAACCGGTCAGAAGAATGATAAGAGCTGCCCAGAGTAAGAAGCCTAAGAAGAAACAACACCTCCAATATAGTCCTAGCCCAAAAATGCTTCAAATTACATGGTCTTTGGACACATCGCTTTTAGTTGCTCGACAAGCCGAGTTGTGTACTTCACCGAGCAAGGATCGATGGAGAATGTTAGCGAAGAAGAGGCAGGTGAAAAACAAGGTGAGGAGCATCAGCTTCCACCGGATGAGGGTGAGATGTTGTTGACCTCATTTTTAGTGAGGTCTAATCTTTCTCTTAGGATTTAGGATCTAGCCTTAGGGACCTCCTTTCGACTATTTTAGAACCTTAGAAATGGGACCCGCCTTGTTCTAGAAATTCAATCCGCTTCCGTCCCCTTCTGGAGTTTCGCGTGTGGTATCAACTTCTAGCACATAGAAGGATGAAACCAACATGAGGAAACCCAAAAGGGATTCCCTATAGGACCTTCCTGAGCCTTAGGGTGACCTTTTGCACAATTCGCACTCCCGCGCACAAAACTTCGCAATTCGGAGAGTCGACACGTCCGATCGCCACAATTCGCATCGCTTGTACTGTTACCCGTCGAAGACTCGAATAAACCTTTTGAAACGATCGATCGCGGGTCAAAATTTTGCGAAATTTAGATTTTGACGCGTTTTTGACCTGATTGTCGACGATGTCGTCCGAGCGACCCCGGATGACAAAACGGACTACACCGGC